ATTCTGAGAAAAAAGTCAGAATTCTGAGAAAAAAGTCAGAATTCTGAGAAAAAAGTCAGAATTCTGAGAAAAAAGTCAGAATTCTGAGATTACCTTTGTGAAGCAGGAAAAAAATCTAATACAAAGTGAATCCAGTAGAGCTTTTTATTGCCTACCAGGAGTGGGTGACAATCGTTGAATAAACTTACGGCCTTTAAAAATGGTATCGGTGCCCTATTAGTTGGTACTCGCCGATACCGATACCACCATTTTAGGGCAGTATCGGGGCCACATCCGATACTGGTATCGGTGCAACACTGAACCCATCAGAGCGTTAGTTAGATGCTTAGAACAGATACATCTCTGATTGCACCATCATTTTCTCAAACTGAACAAAAACAAAACTGAGGTAATAATCTTTTGGAGAGATCCAGAGTTAGCTCATAGCTTCAGCTACTTAGCTAGAAACCACTGATTATGGCCTAAATACTGGTATCATGATGGACTCAGACCTGAACCTTCAGAGGCAAATAAAGGCAGTTACTAAGTCAGGTTTTTATCACCTGAAGAACATCTCTAGGACTCGATTCAATTCAATTTATTTATATAGCCAAACACATGTCATCTCAAGGCACTTTACACTTCAACCAGATCATACAGTCAATTAAAGGACTGATGTTCAAGCAGGATCTAGAAAAACTCATTCATGCATTTATCTTTAGTAGAATTTATTACTGCAAAATTGTCTTTATAGGTTTGCCTAAAAAGTCCATCAGAGAGCTGCAGCTGATCCAACACGTTGCAACCCGGGTTCTCACTAGAACTAAAGTTAGAAGAGCACCAGTTCTGAAGTCCTTCCTCTGGCTCTCTGTAGCTCTGAGAATAGACTTTAAAATCCTTCTGTTAGTCTAGAAATCATTGAATAGATCAGCACCTCAATCCATAACAGATATGTTGTCAGTGTATCAACCTCCCAGACCACTCAGGTCTTCTAGTTCCAGCCTACTCTGTTCACCCAGAACTATAACCAAACATGGAGAAGCAGAATCTATGCTCCACGGATCTGGAATAAACTCCCAGAAAACTGGAAAAGGGCTAAAAGCCTAAATTCAAAGTTAAAAACATTTGTTTAGAGCTGCCTTTGATGGCTGAAGTTAAACTGTTACTGAGGTATTATTAGGTTAAGGTTATAGTCCAACTTAGGGCTGAAACAATTAATCGGATTAATGGTGAATAATTTGTTATTGAGATATTCGCCAACTAATTTCTTTATTAATTATTCATTAACTGGAGTGTAGAGACTCTAAAACCTGCCTTTAGCTGACAGAGCAACCCACTTAGAGCAGTAATTATACAAAAATTGTAAAAGAAAATATGTAAATATTTGGTATTTAAGCTAAAAAAAAAAACTTCTTGCTCTATCTAGCACTCATCAAATGAAAAAAGGTTTATTTTCATTTGGTTTTATATATATAAAGTCTTCTTTAAAGAATATTTGGCTATCCAATTATTAATCGAAGAAATATTCAACAGATTAATCAATTTGTAAAATAGCTGTTAGTTACAGCCGTACTCCAACTGTTTGATTTGTTTTAACTTGCTTTTATTCTGCTTTTACTTTATACTATTTTATTGTTTAATTCATGTAAAGCACTTTGAGCTGTAGTTGTTATGAATTGTGCTATAGAAACAAACTTGCCTTGCTTCACATAAATAAACTGAATTGAATTCAATTGTAACCTCAGAGGTTCTGATCTGTCCATGAATACGTCATGTGAACCAGAGCGTCGCTTCCCATCAGGCAGGGGCGGAGCTAGATGGAAAGCGATGTTTTCGGATGCCCTAAGCTAACAGCTGTTATCTCTGAATAAGCTAACTAAGCTAACAGCTATATCTATGAATAAGCTAACTAAGCTAACAGCTATATCTATAAATAAGCTAACTAAGCTAACAGCTGTTATCTCTGAACAAGCTAACTAAGCTAACAGCTGTTATCTCATAATAAGCTAACTAAGCTAACAGCTACATCTATGAATAAGCTAACAGCTGTTATCTCTAAATAAGCTAACAGCTATATCTACTATGAATAAGCTAACTAAGCTAACAACTGTAAGTTCTGACTAAGCTAACAGCTGTTATCTCTGAATAAGCTAACTAAGCTAAGAGCTGTTATCTCTGAATAAGCTAACTAAGCTAACAGCTATATCTATGAATAAGCTAACTAAGCAAACAACTGTTAGCTCTGACTAAGCTAACTAAGCTAACGGATGTTATCTCTGAATAAGCTAACTAAGCTAACAACTCTTAGTTCTGAATAAACTAACTAAGCTAACAACTCTTGGTTCTGAATAAATGAATTAAGCTAACAGCTGTTAGCGGTGACCCTCAGCTGCTCAGACAGGTTTCTGGTTCTCTGATGGAGGATTTCATCCAGACGGTGAACGTTTCCTCGTCTTTAAGGGATTCTAGATCTGCTGGTCCAAACTGGTTTGATACCAGAACCAGGACACAGAAGCTATACACGGTGCAGTGCTGCCAGTGGCCTTTAGGGGGCGCTTAACCCAGAAGTTACAGGCCTAGCGCCCCTAGTGGTTAAAACTCACACAACGTTTCTGTACGTTTTTCTTTACACCTCTGTTTGTGGGCAATGTTTATAAAAGCACGTCACTCTTATTGTTTATGTAAATCTGTTTATCAAAAGTCAGATAAAACAACTAAAAAATATAATCAATAAATCAAATAAAGCAAAGAAAATGTGAACTAACACCTAGAACCGTTTGATCGATCTAATATGTTTCTGTAGTCGAACAGGAAGGACAAGAGTTGTGTTCCATCAGAGTCTCCGCGCTACAACTGGTCCGACAGTTTGGAGCTCAGTAACCGTCATGTTTTAATGTTTGTGAAGCTGTTTGGATGTTCAGAGAGTAGGAACATATGAACATGGCCAGAGCATGTCAGGATGTAAAGGTGGTCAGTAGAAGCTTGAAATCAATTCTGAAACGGAACGTGAGCAGCGGTGAGAACTCAGGACCGGAGATAAAAACAAGCTGCTGCATCTTTGGAAAACCTATAGTTGATGTGGAGACGACTGATCTAAGCTGACATTCCAGGCATTAAAACAAAGGCAGTGAAAGCATGAATCGCATTTCATAAGGAAATATGTTTCATTCTTTGCAATCAGAGGAATCTGGAAAAACTGTGATTTAACAAGCATATCT